GTATGCTAGCTTTCGGTGGTTAACAGATCATTTTAACCATGCACATCATCTGTTACCTGTTGCGTTACATCAGTTTTCCCCTAGTTGAATGTTCCAAGATGGTGTGATAAAGGGCTGCATGACTTTAGAACAGTGATATTCATTCATACAATGAACATCAATTGGTTCTTCTGGAACAAAGTGAGCCATTGCATAACAACTGAAGTAGAATAAACAAAGATGACGATATCAACGTTGGCTGTTGGCCAGATTTCTATTTTTAAGCTTCGGTGTTTGCCCAGAATTTCGCAATCAGTGCATTCCTATGTAGGTTGAAGGGAAAGCTGTTGGGTTTTGCAGCTTAAATGAAACTTTTAAATGGTTGCGCTGCATAAAATTTGCTTGTTTTGGAAGTCCTTTTTTATAGTGTCGATGTAAACATTTCAGTCTCCATCTTAGTTGCTTAAAATTGTGTGCAATATGAAGCAGTGGGTCTGAATGTGAGACTACAACAGGGGTGGGCAATTCCAAGCCCCGAGGGCCAGTGTCCTGCAGGTTTTAGATCTCACCTTGGGACAACACACCTGAATCACATGATTAGTTCATTACCAGGCCTCTGGAGAACTTCAGGACATGTTGAGGCGCTAATTTAGCCATTTAAATCAGCTGTGTTGGTTCAAGGACACATCTAAAACCTGCAGGGACACCGGCCCTCGAGGCCTGGAGTTGCCCACCCCTGGACTACAAGCTCCTTGGCTGAGCACTTAAGTTAGGCTTAAGTTAGCCACGGATCATTTGGTTTCACACCATGATAATCCTTTGTTTTTTAGTCATATGGTATGACCAAGATTTATAAAACAAAAACTACTTTTTGACCCAAAATGAGCAACTGGTAAGGTTCATACTTGGTGATTTTCCCCTACATTTTCCCTCTTAATAAACCTTCTATCGCACTCATTTGTGCAAAGAGATAAGTTTAGTCATTGACCTTCCAGTGCAGCGTCTCTAACTGAACATGCATTTGATGTATAAATAATGGCTTCACATCCAACGGGAAATTTCCTTTATTTGAAATAAACCGTAGATTTAGTGCTGGAGGACAGGAAAAATCCTCTTCATGTGCTGTAGGACACAACCATTAAGCCTGTTGTTCCACTAAAGGGCTTAGATCTCTTCTCAGCAATAACTCTCCTGAGACAAAGAAAGGGGAACCAAGGTTATGATAGAGCGCTTAGGCCCCACACAGAATGACATTCTCCCACCCACACGTGTCTTCCACCACCCAGAGGTCCTCAACTGTGTCCCTGCATAGAAATCCCTCAGTGGGCTTATTGAGCAATAGGACATAAGGTATTGTCTTACTTCCCAGAATCAGCAAGCATAACCCTCTGACTCATGCGGGGTGGCCACAACACAATCTTGGCAAGCGTTTAGCAGACAGGACACCCCTGACCTTTTTAAAAAGCGTAAGTCACCTAAATAGCCACGTCTCGCTTAATCACCCTGCACTTCCTGCAGGAGTTGCAATTCAGACGGTCCACCGGGTATTATGATGTCAGGCTTGCGATGCATTGTGCGGTTTCATTAACAGTAAAAGATGTTTGTTTTAACCTTATTTTGGATACAGCGACCTCCATTACGACCTTTGCTTTTGTTATAACAGGTAGTACTGTTGCTACACTGTAACAGGACCTTGGATGTATTTTGTCCACTGTTGCAGATCTGTTGGCTTCCAATAACTCCCACATGATTTGGAAATCATTTAGCAGACTCCTGAAACTTGAATGTGTAATTCATCACTGCCTGTAACATCTTGCCTTGATTAGCTGGTGTCACTTTGATTACTTGCACAACATAGGCGGTTTCACGTGTTTCATATCAAGCGTTGTTGGAACTGAAGGATCGGAAACTGTGGAGATATTTGGGTTTAACGGTGTGTGTTATCGTTGGATGTCTCTTTCTCCCTGTTTCCATTCTTCAATCTGACCTGAGCTGACCGTATGATGAGAAATATTACAGGAAGAATAAAAGGGACCAGAATAGCCTGGTGCTTTGCATATCTTCCACAGGTATACTGCCACAACATTCCTATATCTCGTCACTGATCACTTCCTCTTCTGATGTCTGTGGATCTATTTCTTGTTCTGTGATGGTTGGAGAGTGGAAACCCAGCACCCAACCCCCTCAAATAAGAAAAAAATATATCTAGAGGTTGACCTCTGAAATGGTGATTTCTCTGGGACTCCATGTCAAGAGTGATGTCACATATGAGATCATGCTGCTTTGGCTATCAGGCAGCTGGAGGACAGACCTCCCACTTTCTCTAGTCTAAATTAGGAGGGTGTTTCCCTCAGAGATGTGGCCCACTTAGTTACTTAGTTAGAGAGTGATGTCATAGACCCGTAGAAGGTTAGTGTACATGCTCACAACCATGTACACGTCGAGCTGCATGGTCATGGTTGTAATGCCCTTTTAAAATTAAAATGAAAAATAAAAACTTGTGGCGTGCGGTTGAAGAGTTTAGCTCTGCTTTGTTATTTCTCTATAAAGCGCTGTCCTCTTATGTAGTGACAAAGGAGAGGTATCTACCAGTGAAAGCCTGCCTGACTGCTGATTTTTTTTTTTCTTCTTTTTCCTCTCTTTCCCCCCATATCTTGACGGTGGAGTGCGTCACAATGTTTCAGACACTTCTGGAGCATTTGCAGGCTCGATGCATGCTTTTCCTCACAGACCATCTAGCGCACAGACTTGACAGTCCCCTCTCGTAAGACATGTGGCTGCTGAGCAACAAGAGCGAGCGGCGATTAGCATTTGATCTTCAACAAGCGGGGCTGTCACATTGCCCGCCTGCCAAGAAGTGTGTGGAGAACTGGGCTTGCGATCAGTGGGTACCACTAGCCTGGCATCATGCTGGGCAGAGGAGGGAAGCAGATGGCCCATCTGGTGACTTGCTGGCAAAAAACAGAGGCTGTTCTGTTCCCGTGTGCGTGCGTGCATTTGTGTGTGGCATCAACAGACTGGGCGACGTGGTGTTAGGAGACCACCTGTCTCGTGGCTCATCGTCTCTTTCATGTGTGGTCAACGGCACCGTACAGGCAGAGCTTTGCTCGTATTCCCTTTCCTAATAATGTCCTCGTCTTTACACCAGATGTACTGAACACACTGAATATATTAGTTCTTTGCAATCGTATTATCCGGTGAATTCAGCCAAATCTAACGCTGGTATCACGACACATTTAGAGCACCCTTGCTCTTCCACATTTCCTTTAAGTTTCAGCTTTCCAGCTTTTTAGCTCGTGTGATGCGAGTGCACTGACAGCAGTACCCTGTCTGTTCCCTTGTTCAAACTCTGTTGGCACTCTGTGACTCTACCCCTCAGGCTGTAAATTGCTCCAGTGGCCGCTTTTTATTGCTTTTATGAAAAGTTTTCTGGCTGACACAAAGAGAAAGTGTTTGTGTCTCTGCAGGCACGCCGGAGCATTTATCTGGGCTCAGTGTTCGGGGTAACACAGACTTTGGCGTAGGTGAAAACACACAAACTGGATTTCTTTTGTGTTTTTAATTTTCTTTTGTGGCTCGTGTTTGCTATTTTGTTTCCCGTATTAGCTCTTCTCTTCACTGTGGTGTTCTGACTTTGAGCTGGACCGTCCAGTTAACCATGCGATTGCGGAGTTTACTGCAAGGAATTAGAGCAGCATTACTCAGGGATTTTAGCCAAAACTGACATCAAGTGTGTCACCGGTGACTCTGCTAGTGTCAGACTGTAGCCACTGACAACAGTAGCTGTGATTTTTGTGTTGTCTGTGTGTAGCAACGAGCAGCCATTAGCAGCTATGCCTCTGATTGCTCAGCCAAAAGAGCCTTTTAACCCTCTACTGCAAGAAGAACTTGTGTAACTAAAATGTAGTTTTGCTTCATCTAAATACTCAGAGCTGCTAGGTAATATGTGGCTAACATTAGCAATCTGAGCTTCAATTAAGATTGAATTTCCCATGTAGCTAGCAATCACTCATAGCTAGAAGTGTATTTTAGCATTTACTAAAAATAATATCGCGTTACGTTTGAGCACAGTTGCTTTTCTTCAAGCTGCTTCAAGCTGTCTTTAAATGGATGTAAACATAGGTTTAAAAAGGTTTTGACCTCTTTTTGGATTTCTGAAGTGTGCACAATACCTTCTATGGCTCTGTGATTGATGCTGTAATGGGGAACACACTGAAGTCCCAACCACTGCAAATATTCAAATACCACAACACCGTTTAGAGCAGCTGAGGCACTAGTTCTTGTTCCTCTTTTTTTTTTGTTACATAGACTGCATTCAAAGAACAAACAAATGCTTCCTGCAGTCTTTGCGTGAGAAATATTTGCACGTTGGCCTGTTTCAGGATATAAGCGGTGCGTTTAAGGGCAACGCTTCAGTGGCCGTAAGCATGAAGTGGTGATTAAGAATGCACGAATACTGTGAGATGGATGTATTTGGCTTTAGATCTACCATAAGCATGCATTTTCACTCACTGTGCTGACTGCAACACAAAATACGGATGCGAGTACAGATTCGCCGCTACTTTGTTTTGGAAATTCTCATGGTCTTTACTTGCGGGAGGTGTTCGGGCAAACCCCCACGCCCGCCTCGCCGCTTCAGCGCCCCATCTCAAGGGCGTGTGGAGCCCTCATTACCAAACGCTGAGGGATTCCTTCACTGATGCCGTCTCGCGGTTTTTGTGGTGGCAGTAAACACACACCGGGGGCATTCACGGGACTATGACTAATGGCTTTCATGCTATTTTTCAGAGTAGAGGATATGTCAATCTCAGGAGACCAGTTTAAATACAAAAAAAAGAACAAATAAAAAACACAAGCAGTCACACCGTTGCGGAAAAATAACGCGCTGTGTTGATACTACCACCTGCGTCCTGTTTTGTCTTTGTTTTTGTGCACTCTCAGAAATAATGCGCGCCTTGCTGAAAGAAAATGGCACAGTTCTTGGATGTTGAAACCTTGTTGTTTTTTTGCCTCACTCTCAGGGTGAAGTCTTCAGCAGCAGAGAGAAGTTGAGCTCCGTGCTCGAGTTCAACAGGGCCACTTCCTGATGATGACAGTAAACATGGGTGAGTAGCGTTTGAAAGCGAGCTGCTTTAGGCTGCGCCGTGTACGTACAGAAACATGCTTGCTTACTGGGAATATACACACCTCTCGCTCTTCCTCTGACAGGAACAGTGCAGAGAAAAACAACACATGTAAAAGCAAAGTGTAAAACAAAAAAAGAGGGAAAGAAAAGGCAGTTATTTTCAGATTTTGCACTAAGTTTGCATTTTTTTTTCTGTTGTTCCTCATTTTTAAACCTTTCCTCAGATATGAAGTCTTGATTTTGGCAACTTGAAGGTTGTAGGAGAGAACATAACTCCTTAAAACCTTTAACAACAGTGTGCATGTTTCCAGTGTACTGTGTTTATTTATCTCCTACAAGACAAACTGTATAAGAATGTCTCTGAATGCACTCATGCATGCCTAAATTATGCAAAAAAATTGCTAGCTGTGCACGCAGTGCTTAAAAAAATATCTGCACCCTTCCTGATTTCTTAGTTATTTTGCATATTTGTCACAATCGCATGTTTCAGACAAAGTAAATTTCAAGTAAATAATATTAGACATGAATGCAGCTAATGAAGAAATGAAATGACCATTTTATTTATTAAGGGAAATAAGTCATCCAAACCTATCTGACCCTGTGTGGAAAAAGTAATTGTCCCCACAACATGAGGAGTGTTTGTGCCACCCTTGGCAGCAAGAACTGCAATCAAGTGTTTGCGATAACTGGAATTAAGTGTTTTACATCACAGAGGAGGAACTTTGGCCCACTATTCTTGGGTTCCTGCTTCCAGAACAAAATGCCTGGATGTGCATTAGAAGTTAGTGAGGGTGATCTCTGCCTATGCAGCTTACTAGGGCTACACCACATCCTTTTTGACACACATTGAGGTCTCGAAACACATTACAGGAGGTTTTCAAATGCCATCTTTATGGGGGAGAAATTAAGGTTCAGCAAAAGCATTGCAATCAAATTTGAGCCACTCCAAAACCTTTATGCTGTTTTTTTTTTTTTTTTTGCGTCATTCAGAGGTGGACTTGCTGGTGTTTTTTGGATCATTGTCTGCATAACCCAACTGAGCTTGAGCTTTAGAACACAAACTGATTGCCCAACAGTCTCGTTCAGGATTTTCTGGTAGAGAGACGAATTCATGGTTCCATCAATTACGACAATTCGTCCAGGTCCTGACGCAGCAAAGCAGCCACAGACCATCGCACTACCATCATTATGTTTGACTGTTGGCTTGATGTTCTTTGGTCAGCAGTGGTTTTTTCCTTTGAACGCTCCCTTGGAGGCCACTTTTGCCCATTGTCTTTCTTGTTGTTGAATCCCGAACTCTGACCTTAACTGATGCAAGTGAGGCTTTCAGTTCCTTAGATGTTGTTCTGAATTGTTTTATGACAACCTGGATGAGTCATTGATCTGCTCTGGGGAGTAATTTGGTAGGTTGGCCACTCACCACCGTGCCAAGTTTTCTTCATTTGTGGATAATGGCTCTCACCGTGGTTCACTGGAATCCCAAAGCCTTAGAAATGGCTTTGTAACACTTAACAGACTGACAGATGTCCATGACCTTGTTACTCAGCTGGTTCTTTAGTTCATGGCACAATATGCTGCTTTTTAAGATCTTTTAGCTTACTTCACTTTTGTCACACGGGTTCTTTTGGGGTTATAGATTTTTTTCCCCTAAAAATTAAATCATCATTTAAAAACTTCTTTTTTTAAATTGCATTTCCGCATAAGTGTGACAAATATGCAAAAAATGTGGACGGGGATGAATGCTTTTCACAGCACTGTACGTTGTTGTTTCTCAACAGTAGATTCTCTGAACTCAAAGTATCAGCAGCCAGCATATGCTGTCAATTGTTTTATTTTGGACCTGGTTTCACTGTGATCCAAAATGATGATGGTTTTTTTCCACAGATGACGGTCTCCAAAATGGATCTGGACAGCACAGAAACTCACAAGGTAAACACCCAGCCTTGATGGAGCTACAGGAATTGTATGACATGCTAGGCCTGTTCTGTAAATGTATGTAATGCTTTCTGGACAAAAGAAGAAATCAGCCCCACAATCACGTCAGTGTGTTACGTAAGGTTTTCCACCTGACATAAATGTTGCCGCATGTGGTTGTTCTTGGCATTGGGCTTGCCGTGTCCATGCATCAGTGCAACAACGCAAATGGCTGGAAGCGTTTCCTGATCCAGGTGTTATAAAGATGATTGAAGTTTTGGAAACGGGAGCAGGAATTGTGCGATGCAACTTCTACCCTCAGGCGTTATGGAAATTCTCCTGTAGATTTTTTCCTGCTCTTTTAGACGGTGTGCGTCTCTTATTTTAGCGTGGCTTCGTATGAAGTCTTTCAGCTCTGTCGAGAGTTCAGTAAATAAACAGAGCTGCAGCAAATTTCCTAGCTGATTGTGAGCTTTGAAAAAAAAGAACTCTGAAATTCTGAATTTTGCAAAATGTACATAATGCTAAAACCACTCCCCGTATTTAACACACATTAGACTCCTATTAATAGCTCTCCTCAAATAATTGCTTAACAGATCTTTCCAGATCTGTAACAGTAGTGGTGACACGGCTAAGCCAAGCTGACGCAGGCTGAGAGAGGAATGCCACGGCCTGCAGATACTGAATGGGCATATTTGCAAACATTGTCCAGTGAAAAGCCTTTAGAACAGACCTTGTACAAACATTAATTGCACAACCACTGTTGCACACCCACCTACATTACATCAGGGTCATTATTCTTGGTGAAAGATTAACTTCTGAGGTTTAAACATTACATCCATTAGGTGTCCAATTATATCTGCCATGGTTTCGATAAACAGCGAGGTGAGAGCTGGGAAGCCCGCCTTGCTTGTTATGGCTGACTTGTGTGTGTGTGCATGTGCTTGTGTGCTTGTTGTGCGTCAGAGCTCGAACCGTAGTGCTGCAGAGTGAGGACACGTTTGGCTCCAGCCGCTAATCCTGCCGGATGCCTTTGGCATGATGCGTCTCTCGGCACCAGGAAATCCCCTCAATGTCTTCATTCAGGCAGCCTGCATCTCTCACTCTCACACACACGCACACAGACGCTCTGCCTCGCTGGTCCTTAAATACTTTTGGCTTGCAGAAGTTGTATCCTCTCGTAGCTTGTTCTATTTTGTAAGCAACTTTAGGGTTTGGGGGAGTTGTCTCGCTCTACCTTCATCTCCCAGCTTCTGCTCTGCTTCCATAAAACCCTTAGCTCGAGCAGCAGTTCCGAGAAGACGTCTCCTTTTTATTGTCACCCGTTCTGAAGCAAAGTTCCTGCTTTATTTCGTCCACTGCCACTTTCGCAGTACCCAGAGTTAGCCTGTGAAGAGACGAAAGATGCAGGGCGATGATGCAATGGGCAGCAACCGGTCGACATTGTGTAATGTTACTCGCTCTGCCCGGCTTCCTGGAATTCCCCCTTTTTCTTATGCGTGTCACATTTTGCGCAACACACAATGAGAGCAGATGGGGGGGG